CCCCGGCAACCTGGAAAGGGGAACTGAGATCCTTGGGCACAGCTTGGGGCGTGAGACCCGCTTGTCCTACAGCGGTCCCTCTGCCTTGGACTCCATCTCAGCACACCTATGGCAGAGGTCACAGGCACGGCAGATGGAGCCTGGACTCCTGAATCACCCAGATATGAACTTCAGTCCTGGCTTTGCAACCATGAGTTGAGGGACCTAGAGAAATTTACTTTACCTCTATGAACTTTAGTATATTTAAGCAAGATGGAAATAGACACAAATTCATAGGATTTTGTCATGAGGGTGAAATTTGATCATATCACTGTTATGTACTAGGTATGAAATAATGGTCCTTCCTGGCCTCATCCTGACATAAGATATAATAAACTCTACCCTCATGCTCTTTCTTCCCCCCAGTAATTATCTCTACTTGACTAGCTTGTCTTCTTCCTTCTCACCCTAATAAGAAAATAGCAAAATTGGGCAATTACTAACAAGGAATCCATAAATGGTGAGTGATAAGCCTGGAGGGATTGCGTGGGGTGGGGGGGTGGGGTGTGGTCAGAGAATGATGCCCTGGTGCTTCATAAATGGAACAACTCATCATCTAGCTGATGAAAAGACACAAAAGTTGAGTGAGGGGGTGAGTGAGATTATTGAATTCAAGACATCAAAGATTCCAGAAGCCACACACTAACCACTATTCCATACTGCCCCTTAAAGTTTAGAGAAAACCAAACAGAGAAGATGCATATATATACCAACTAGGTTTAGCCACAAGATTATGAGGTTATGATTATCTAGGGACCATAGAAGCCCATATGGAGGAGAAGATGGGCATTAGAGAATACATGAGCAATGTTTGGCAATGCAGAGATGAGAGGAAACAGATTTGAGAAAATGATGTGATGATTCAGTCTTTGCAGAGTTCTTCTAACTTGGTAATGGTTCTCCCACAAATGGAAATGGAGTCAGAAATGCGGGTTGTGATCCCACCTACTCTGCTTAAAAGAAGACACTGGACACATCACAACCCTTCTGAGCTTCAATTTTCTCACCTGTAGAATATGGATAAGAATCTTGTTTTCAGTTGCAAGATTAAGTGAGAAAGTGACCTGTACACAGTGTAGATCAATGATTCCCAGACCCACTAGAATATTAGTTACCTGAGGTGAAAAAGTTGGCTTAAAGCTCAACATTCAGAAACAAAGATCATGGCATCTGGTCCCATCACTTCATGGCAAATAGATGGAGAAACAGTGGCAGACTTTATTTTGGGGGGCTCCAAAATCGCTGCAGATGGTGAGTGCAGCCATGAAATTAAAAGACGCTTACTCCTTGGAAGAAAAGTTATGACCAACCTAGACAGCATATTAAAAAACAGAGACATTACTTTGCCAACAAAGGTCCATCTAGTCAAGGCTATGATTTTTCCAGTAATCATGTGTGGATGTGAGAGTTGGACTATAAAGAAAGCTGAGTGCTGAAGAATTGATGCTTTTGAACTATGGTGTTGGAGGAGACTTGAGAGTCCCTTGGACTGCAAAGAGATCCAACCAGTCCATCCTAAAGGAGATCAGTCCTGAGTGTTTATTGGAAGGACTGATGTTGAAGCTGAAACTCCAGTACTTCGGCCACTTGATGCGAAGAGCTGACTCATTTGAAAAGATCCTGATGCTGGGAAAGATTGAAGGTGGGAGGAGAAGGGGACGACAGAGGATGGCATTAGTTGGATGGCATCACCAACTCAATGGACATGAGTTTGAGTAAACTCTGGGAGTTGGTGATGGACAGGGAGGCCTGGCATACTGTAGTCCACAGAGTCACAAAGAGTCAGACACGACTGAGTGACTGAACTGAACTGAACTGAGGTGAATGCTAAAAATACAGATTTCTGGAGGGACACAGCTGGACCAGCAGGACAGAGAAGAGATGTTTTCTGACCTCTTCCCACACTTGGATCTACTGCCAGGGCACCATTGACCGAGGCTAATAGAAGCTGATCAGCAGGGAAGCTGGATGATACAGCTTATGGGAATCCTTCTCTTGGTACATACAAATTAGGGAAGAAACAGAATAATTAGCACTCTCCCCTCTCAAAACTTCCGGTGGCTTCCCACTGCCTACTAAATAAAGCCTAATCTCCCAAATGGCCATTCAAGTCCCTCTACAATCTACACCATCTTTCCAGACTCTTCTTCACTCACGGCTCGCACGCCAAAGCCTGAAGTGGCACCACTTGTTTCCCAGCCCATTGATCTTCTCATGCCATCCCACTTCCCCCAGCCCCCTCTCTGGCTTAGGAGATCCTACTTAGCCTCAACTCATGGTCTGTCTTAAACTCTGTCTCCTCCATACTCTCATCTCTGATTATCTCCAACTGGGGGGACATCTTCCTTCCCTCTGCTTCCCTAACAACTTAATTTGGACCACCTGTCTGATCCATCACATACCATCTCACACCGGTCATCCATTCCCACCGATCATGTGCTGAAATTGTGTCTGTGTACCACTTCTATTAAATTGAAGGTTCCACAGTAGAAACTTTATCTTCATGTGTTTGCATTCTCCAGTTCCCAAAGGTCCTATTCGGGATATCTCTCCCTTTCTCGAGCTCATGGACTTCTTTGAGATGCATGTCAGGGAATTCCCTGGCAGTCCAGTGGTTAGGACTCTGCACTCTCATTGCTGAGGTCCCAGGTTCAATCCCTATCAGGTAACTAAGATTTCAGAAGCCACCTGGCTGGGCCAAAATATCCAGATCAAATGCCAATGCCTCTGTTTCCTCCAGGCAGAGCCAATTCATCTTCTCTTTCTCCTCCTTTAAGATATTCAATATATCTCTTACCCCACATGTATATCTCACACAGGGAGCCAGGCTCATGGTTAAGAGCATGTATTCTCCAATCCATCTGCATGGGTTCAAACTCTGAAACTCCATCACTCAAAAGTTGTGTAACATCGAGAAATTTATTTAAATTCTCTATGCCCTTTTTTTCATGGCACCTAGGATAGCAAATAAGATAGTATATGTAAATAATTTAGCACAGTGCAGGGCATATATATTAAATGCTGAAAAAAATGTCAGCTGTTAATATTATTACTTGACTCTAAGCTCCCTGAAGGCAGGACCCATGTCTTGATCTTTGTTTCTCTAGTGTCTGCACAATGCCGAGTGTATAGTATGTGCTCACTGTGTTTGTGTATTATTTCCCTGGTGTCTATACAATGTCCAGTATATAGTACATGTTCATTGTATGAACGAATAGGCATTCAATAAATATTGGTTGGGTGGTTGGCTGGTTTGTTGGTTGATGGCTGGGTAGATAGATGGCTGGTCAAACAGTAGGTCTAGTGTTGCCAACTGGTTACATAAATAAGTGAATCAGTAGGTATTCAATATGTGTTGGCTGGTTAGTTCTTTGCTTAAAACAAATGAGTGAATGAGGAATGAATAATAGTATTTAATAAGAAGGTTGCCTATTTGCATGGTTGAATGAGCAAACAGATTTTCCACAAATAGCAGATGTTCCATAAATGCTGCCTGGGTAAGTGAATGAACAAACATCCTAAAATATAACAATAGCTTAGAGCCAAAGCCAGAGAGGACACAGCTAGAGCAGTGGTGGGGGGAGATGGATGATGAAGCTGGCCACGCAGTAACTATCACAGAGATTCCACTTGTCCCTGCCATTTCTAGAGGCTTCCCCACCACAGCTGCTTCTGCAGACTTCCTGGGCTGCAACATGAGTGATACGGGAAGCTGGGGCTGTTTAGGGGGCTGGAGGTGGGCAAGCCGCCCCTCCTTCTACCCATTCAGCCAAGGAGCAGCCAGCCCAGGCCCCCACCTAGAGCTGGCTTTCCTGTCCCACCCCCGAAAACGAGGGACCTCCATCTCTGAGCACATTAGGAACAACTTCTGTATTTTCTCCGTCCCAGGGGCAGAGATGTTAGCTCGCTGGATCCTCAGCCCTATTCCTTGGCTTTTTCTCCCAAGAAAGCCCCAGCAACTCACATCTCCAAGTTTATGAATTATTTTGCAACATGTCTGCAGATGTGTGAACTAGAAATCTTACACATGTTGGAGGATTTTGCCATTTCTATTAAATATGCCATTCATTTGGTAGGTAATTAAATGTGCAATAATGGGCTCTAATTTCCATCTTAAATGACTTCCTAGGAGTAGCAGAAAGAGAGATGCAGGGTGTAATTTTCTAAAAGAGGCTTTTTTCCCCCTAAAGCTTTTTAGCACCTAGAAGAAGGGGGGAATTAAGTAAAATAAAGTTGGTTTTGACACTGCTCCACGTGAGCATCGTCGGCAATTACCCCCCACTTAGGGAAGGAGACTAGAGCTGCCACGCAACACCAAAGCCCTGGCAGCCTGGGGACCGCAGTCCTGGTGGTCTGAGCTTGAGGAGTGAAGAGCCGGTGGGCAGCAATAGGAGCTGGGGCGGGGTGGGAAGGCATCTCTGCAGATGCCACGGACACTACATTTGGGCAGAGTCTGCAAAACTGAGATGAATAAGCCTTCCTCCTCTTCTCTGTACCTCCCACACCATCCACGTCCATATGTGAGGACACATGTGCATACACACACACACACAGACACACACACACACTCACTCACAGAAGCACAGAGTTCGCCTCCAACCCTAGAAGCACCCATCTGAGCCAACTGCAGGGAGGCAGCCAGGAAGCCTCAGATCCACCAATGGCTGTGAAGATATGGTTGAGTTACTTAGCTTCTCTGAGCCTCAGTTTCCTCATCTGTGAGACGGGAATCGTCAAACCCAACCCAGAAGATCATCATAAGCGTCAAAGGCAAGACCATGTGGAAAGGCACTGGGCTCCCAGGAGCAAGCTCTCGATGGATGTATTCCCTCTCGCCTTCCTCTTCCTCAGTTGGCATTGAGGGCCAGCTCGTAATTCCAGGGCCCAGGAAGCCCGCTCACCCTCTGGGAGTTGCCCCGATTCTCCCCACTCTACGGCATCATCCCTCGGGGCAGCCAGCCCTACTCCTTCCCTCCCCTGCCTCGGCCCGTCTCCGTCTCCGGGCAGCCTCTGCATTCCAGTGGGGCTGGCAGCCTTCCCTGAGGCAGCGCTGAACCGCAGGGAGGCTGAGGGGCCCAAGGGACCGGGGTTCCGATAGGAACACAAAGGAAGCACAGGTGCTGAGCGAGGGTGGAGACGCCCCCGGCCGGGCCCCAGGGTCCATGGTGAGCGCAGACCTCTTGGCCGGCTGTCGGGGGCATGCCCCGCTCCCCGAACCTTCGGGGACCGACACCACCAGCGTGGAGGCCCAGTGGGAGGGCTGTCAGCCGCCGATGACTCCCAGCCTCTGGATGTCTCTCAGCTCGGCAGTCTCTGAACGTGGACGTTCAGGGCAATAAGTCAGGCTGTCTCCTGGCTCACTGGCCGGTCTCCGTCCTGGGCGTCTGGGAAGGAGATAAGGGAAGAACCTTGAGAGCACATCCCAGGATATCTTGGGATCTCAGGCCAGGAAACAGACTCCATTACATAACAGCTTAGCTGAAAGTAGGCCTGGGCAGAGGTGGGAGTGGAGACAGTGAAAAGGAGTCATCTGAGGGACTCAAAGCACAGGCTGCCCTCAAATAAACACAGACGTATGGGTGAATGTGCGCTGGGAGCCAGGGTGGGTCCTTCATGAGGCAAGAGCGGGTGAGAACTAAAAGGGACCCAGAGGCCACTCATTGGCAGCAAGGCCTGGGCCCCATTCACTGAGGTGGAGGGGGCGGCATGGAACACCCCAAGCCGCTCGGGCTGCCCTGCAGAGCTTTCCACTTATTTGTTCTTCCAAGGTCCCAGCCTTCTCTGATCAATCATCTAAGCAGATGGATGGACTTCTTTATTTATGGATTGCCAACTTCACACCAAGCAGACCGTTCATACAATAAATATCAAGGGTTTTAGAGGCAGGCCACCTGATTGGAGCCCCTACGCTGTCATTCCTTGTTATACAACTTTGACTAGATATTGGAAGTCTCTGGGCCTCAGTTTCCACATCTCTAGAATGGGATTGTTGTAAAGATTACATGGGAAAATAACTACATAGTGCTTAGCATGATGACTAGTGCATTTTTTTGCATTAACTAAAAAAAAGTCAGTCACTGCTGTTATTATGAGGTCAGCGTGCTGACTATAAAATGTTCAAAACGTACAATTACCCTCTTAGATAATCAATGAATAGCATATACTACATGTCCCCCAAAAAGAGACTGCTCTGTCCTTTTTGTTGCCTACAGCATCCATGATTTCGCACATGATAGGAGCTTGGTAGCTTTTTGAAAAATGGAGGTAAGTTCCTCAATGACCAAGAATAAACTATTTCAGCAATAACTGATATTGGAGACTATTACCTTATACTGGGGTTTGGGGCTTGGAGAGGTGACAATTTAAGCTTGGAAATGACAAAGACACAAATTTAGACTAGTCATAAAATTTACAATCAGTCTCCAGAGCTCATCTCTATGGTGTTCCCTTTTCATTCTTCTTAAGGAAGGACATACCTCATTACATGCAGGCTGCTGCAACACTCATCTCTGATCTGTGTATAATGCCGATTGCTTTCTGATGTGCACAGAAATACCAGCTTGTGAGGAGGAAAAAGGTACTGTGGAGAAGCAGACAGAAGTTATAAAGTCAGAGGGCATGAGACAAGCTTGGAGGCTCCTCCTCCTCCAATCCCAGACTATGAAAGCAGCAAGGACTCTAGGGGTCACCCCCATCCTTCCCACCCATCTGACAGAGGAGGCTCTGTGACTGGACCAGGGCCACCAGCTAGTTAGTGACAGGGCGGGGACCAAGAGCATTCTCCTGACTCCACTTTAATCATCTTCCCACTACACCTGGCTGTCATCTTCTCTGAACATGAATTCATCAGAGGCAAGCAGATGACTGCCTTCCATCCCAAGCAGGCCAGAGGGGCCCCAAGAGCATCACGTTAGTTAGAGAGGCCCAAACATGGCTCCTTATTAGAAGCCAATCATGGGGGCATGTTTTTTATCCCACACCCACCCCTGCGGTGAGGGTAAGCATGTTTATGTCTGCAATTAAGTCGGCTGTACAGAGGAATCAGTGCTCAAGGCAATTAGAACTGACACCTGTTTTTGATATTGAAAACAATCTGAGAAATAATTACATGAGTTACAGTTCAGCTGTCATATTTTAAAAAATGTAGAGGCCTGATGGATAACACTGAGGGAGGGATCATGGCCTATGAGGCAAGGCTCTCCAAAGGGGCCTCTTATAGATGAAGCCCAACTCAGAGGTTCCACAGAGACCCACCTCCTCTCCGCTCCTTGGCCCAGCCCGCTGGGAAGACACAAGGCAGCCACGTCCCATAGCAAAACTGAGGACTGCACTGGGGCCCTTGGGGGCAGGAAAAAAGGAAGGTGAAGGTCTCAGAGAGCTGCCTGTGACCTGGTACCATTTCAACTGGTCCCTGCCAGCCTGTCAGGGTCCTAGTCCTCCTATTCCTCCCTCCTGCCCTCACACACAGTGTCTGCCCACTTGTTCAAAGAGCTATCCTGCAATCCCACTCCTGGGCATATATCAGGAGAAAACGGTAATTCGAAAAGATACATGCATCTCAGAGTTCACTGCAGCACTATTTACAACAGCCAAGACATGGAAGCAGCCTAAGCGGTCACTTCAGATAAGTGGACAGAGAAGATACTTGTGTGGTATACATACACAGAGGAATATTGCTCAGCCATAAAATAGAATGAAATAATGCCATCTGCAGCAACATGGATGGACCTAGAGGTTATCGTGCAAAGTAAAGTAAGTCAGGGGCTTCCCCAGGGGCTCAGCGGTAAAGAATCTGCCTGCAATGCAGGAGAAGCAGCAGACGCAGCTTTGATTCCTGGGTCGGGAGGATCCCCTGGAGGAGGGTATGGCAACCCACTCCAGTATTCTCACCAGGCAAATCCCATGGACACAGGGGCCTGGCGGCCACAGTCCATAATAGTTGGGCAACTGGTTGCGTTGCAGAGTCAAACATGACTGAAGTGCCTGAGCACACACGCACACCTGCACGAAGTACAGACAGAAAGAGGAGTGTCACATGCTATCACTTATATGTGGAATTTTAAGAAAAAGATACAAAAGAACTTATTTGCAAAACAGAATAGACCTACAGACCTAGAAAACAAACTTCTGGTTACCAAAGGGGAAGGGGGGCAGACAGGGAAGAATAAATTAGGAGACTGGGATTAACATATACACACTACTATATATAAAGTAGATAAACAGCAAGGGTCTACTATATAGCACAGGGAACTATACTCAATATTTTGTAATAACTATAAAGGAAGAACTCAGAAAAATATATATTATATATATATATATGTATGTATGTATGATCTGAATTACTGTGCTGCATGCCTGAAACTAACACGACATTGTAAGTCAAGGGAAAGAGAAAGTCGCTCAGTCACATCTGACTCTTTGCAATCCCATGGACTATATAGTCCATGGGATTCTCTAGGCCAGAATACAGGAGTGGGTAGCCTTTTTCTTCTCCAGGGGATCTTCCTAACCCAGGGATCAAACCCAGGTCTCCTGCATTGCAGGGGGTTTCTTTACTAGCTGAGCCACCAGGGAAGCCTATAAGTCAACAACACTTCAGTTTTTAAAACAGCTAAATTCTAATTATACCACAAATAATTAATTTGTAAGAGCTATCTAGCTCTGCCTTGTTCTCCCTGATAACCGTTCCAAAGACTCAAGTGATAATTAAGGGAGATCTTTCACCATGCTACATCCAGGACCTGACTCAGGTCCTAATGTGTAATAAACATTTTATATGTAGGTAATAAACAACTGATAACTCTTTTCAGTATTAGCACTCATTTCTTCGGCAATTTTATAGTTTCATTCTTCCATATCCATTCTTTCCTTAGGTGTTTATGACCCTTTGGATGTGGTGACTGTGAAATAGATGTCAAAGGTGTCAAAGATGAGAAAACCGAAGTCAGAATGAATGAGGAGGGCTTGCCCAAGATTATGCAGCCAGAAGAGCCAGGAATCCAGCAGGTCTTTTGCCCTGGGCTCTTTCAGGCACAGGGGGTCTCTGCCTTGGGATATGAATGTGCCACATTCACATGAAATGTGAAAGAGAAAGTTGCTCAGTCATGTCTGACTCTTTGTGACCCCATGGACTATACAGTCCATGGAATTCTCCAGGCTAGAATACTGGAGTGGGTAGCCATTCCCTTCTCCAGGGGATCTTCCCAACCCAGGGATTGAAACCAGGTCTCCCACATTGCATGTGGATTCTTTACCAGCTGAGCCACAGGGGAAGTACAAGAAATACTGGAGTGGGCAGCCTATCCCTTCTCAGTGGGTCTTCTGGACCTAGGAATTAAACCGGAGTCTCCTGCATTGCAGGCAGACTCTTTACCAGCCTAGCTATGAGGGAACTCTCTCCAATTGTCCAGGTTCTACCTTGGGGCCTTGCATGTAGTGGGAGCACATTAACAAAGACAAACTAATTTATGGGTATTTGATCTTGGAGGCGATCAATGCAAAGAAATAGAGGAAAACAACAGAATGGGAAAGACTAGAGATCTCTTCAAGAAAATTAGAGATACTAAGGGAACATTTTATGCAAAGATGGGTTCGATAAAGGACAGAAATGGTATGGACCTAACAGAAGCAGGAGATATTAAGAAGAGGTGGCAAGAATACACAGAAGAATTGTACAAAAAAGATCTTCACGACCCAGATAATCACTATGGTGTGATCACTCACCTAGAGCCAGACATCCTGGAATGTAAAGTCAGGTGGGTCTTAGAAAGCATCACTACAAACAAAGCTAGTAGAGGTGATGGAATTCCAGTTGAGCTATTTCAAATCCTGAAAGATGATGCTGTGAAAGTACTGCACTCAATATGCCAGCAAATTTGGGAAACTCAGCAGTGGCCACAGGACTGGAAAAAGTCAGTTTTCACTCCAATCCCAAAGAAAGGCAATGCCAAAGAATGCTCAAACTACCACACAATTGCACTCATCTCACAGGCTATGGAGGAGCCTGGTAGGCTACCAGTCCACGGGGTCGCAAAGAGTCAGACATGACTGAGCGACTTCACTTCACTTCACTTCACTTCACTTTACACACTAGTAAAGTAATGCTCAAAATTCTCCAAGCCAGGCTTCAGCAATACGTGCACCATGAATTTCCAGGTGTTCAAGCTGGTTTTAGAAAAGGCAGAGGAACTAGAGATCAAATTGCCAACATCTGCTGGATCATTGAAAAAGCAAGAGAGTTCCAGAAAAACATCTATTTCTGCTTTATTGACTATGCCAAAGCCTTTGACTGTGTGGATCACAATAAACTGTGGAAAATTCTGAAAGAGATGGGAATACCAGACCACCTGACCTGCCTCTTGAGAAACCTATATGCAGGTCAGGAAGCAACAGTTAGAACTGGACATGGAACAACAGACTGGTTCCAAATAGGCAAAGGAGTATGTCAAGGCTGTATATTGTCACCTTGCTTATTTAACTTCTATGCAGAGTACATCATGAGAAACACTGGGCTGGAGGAAGCACAAGCTGGAATCAAGATTGCCGGGAGAAATATCAATGACCTCAGATATGCAGATGACACCACCCTTATGGCAGAAAGTGAAGAGGAACTAAAAAGCCTCTTGATGAAAGTGAAAGAGGAGAGTGAAAAAGTTGGTTTAAAGCTCAACATTCAGAAAACTAAGATCATGGCATCTGGTCCCATCACTTCATGGCAAATAGATGGAGAAACAGTGTAAACAGTGTCAGATTTTATTTTTGGGGGCTCCAAAATCACTGCAGATGGTGATTGCAGCCATGAAATTAAAAGATGCTTACTCCTTGGAAGAAAACTTATGACCAACCTAGATAGCATATTAAAAGCAGAGACATTACTTTGCAACAAAGGTCCATCTGGTCAAGGCTATGGTTTTTCCAGTGGTCATGTATGGATGTGAGAGTTGGACTGTGAAGAAAGCTGAGTGCTGAAAAATTGATGCTTTTGAACTGTGGTGTTGGAGAAGACTCTTGGGAGTCCCTTGGACTGCAAGGAGATCCAACCAGTCCATCCTAAAGGAGATCAGTCCTGGGTGTTCATTGGAAGGACTGATGCTGAGGCTGAAACTCCAATACTTTGGCCACCTCATGCAAAGTGTTGACTCATTTGAAAAGACCCTGATGCTGGGAGGGATTGGGGGGAGGAGGAGAAAGGGACGACAGAGGATGAGATGGCTGGATGGCATCACTGACTCAATGGACATGAGTTTGAGTAAACTCTGGGAGTTGGTGATGGACAGGGAGGCCTGGTGTGCTGCAATTCACGGGGTCTCAAAGAGTCGGACACGACTGAGCGACTGAACTGAACTGATCTTGGAGGCTCTTCTCTTCCAGGGTCCCTGGGTGGGAGGGGCAGTGATTTAAGCCTATTGATGGAGGCAAGGGCTGAGGCCTAGGTGGTGATGATAGGAAACAGCAAGAAAGCAGAATAATAAAGCAATTTCAGTGATTAGGGCTGTAGAAATGGTCACAAATGGAGAATCTTAGGAGAAAAATACAGGACAAAATGCATCAGTGGAATCAAGGTTTAGACTGTATGAGTCA